ATGGCGGCTCCCTTGGAGAAGAAGCAGAAGACCGAGGGGGAGGAGGCAAAGGACGTCGAGATGACCGAAAAGAAGGAGGTCGCCGAGCCGCCGAAGGAGCAAGAAAAGGACGCGAAGCCGCTGAAGGGAAACAAGGTGGGGGGAATTGAGTTTTTGAGGCCAGATACGACGGTCAACGTCATGACCTCTACAGTTGGGGACCTTCTGATGGCTGTCCGAGACAACGGCTTCCAGTACCTTCTCGCGGGCGCGCGGGCCAGCGTGGGCGTCAAGTCTGGCCGGTATATGTTCGAAGTGAAGATTGTGGAGTCTTCATCGACGGCGAAGTATTCTGCAGCCGATCCAAGCGGGCAGTATCCCCAAAGCCTGCTGAAGATTGGCTTCTCGGCTGCCGGCTCCTCCCTGCTCCTGGATTCTTCCGAGACCAGTGCCAGTTTTGACTCCGAGGGCCACTTCAGCGGCAGCGCGTCGCACGTCAAGGTCTCGAAAAAGCTGTACAGTGGCGACGTCGTGTCCTGCCTGCTCAACCTCGACAAAGCCAGCCCGAACTTCAACACCATCAGCCTCTTCAAGGGCGGGGCGCGCATCTCTCAGCCCCAGGCCCTTCCTGACAGCCTGAAGGGCAAGCCTCTCTTCCCCACCGTGGCCTTCAAGTGCATGACGCTGCACACGAGCTTTGGGCCGGAGCCGATCTGCCCGCTGCCCTTCAAGTGCCACATGGTGGGGTCGGCGCTGCAGTCCGACGCCGAGGTCACGAAGTTCGACGCCCCTGACGCTGGCGAGGCAGCGCTCACTTCAACTCCCTATTGATTCGATTCGACTTCGATGGCTTCCGGTCCCGATTCGGTTCGACCTCGGGTTGCGGCTTGGGTTCCGATGTATCGCTGGAGGCCTTGGTAGCCTGCCGATTTCCGCCGGTTCGACTCCTCTCGACTTGGCTGCCGACTTCCGCCGACCCGATTCATGTGGTCGCCGATCCGACTTGGCGATTCGATTCTGGGCTCTCCTGGCGAGGTGCTGTTCCCGGTGAGCTTGCCAGACGAGGGCAGCTTCGATTATCTGGACATGTACTTGGAGAAGAATCCAGGCTACGTCGAGATCAGCGACCGTGCTATCCGGGACTGGGCAGAGAAGAGCGCCCTGTGGACCAGGAAAGGGGGCGCGCCGACCTCGAACGACAGGCCCGAGATGGGCTTCGGCATCAAGCAGCTCGACGACGGCTACACTGTTAAGGGGATGCTACGGGCCCTCTGTGCCCTCCAGCAGCGGAATTATGTCGTGATGGAGGTGAAGGGCAATCTGGTCAAGGAGGAACGGGCAACGGCGCTCGCGCCTTTCAAAGCGGCAGGTTTCAAGACGAGCGCGATGGTCCTGGTGGGACCCCCATCGGTGGAGTTCAAGAAGAGGGCTCAGGCACTGACGCTGAAGATGAAACAGGCTGCCTCCGACAAGGAGCACAACGAGAAGTTCGAGGCCGAAAAGAAAAAGTGGGCCCTCGCGAAGAAGGCGAAGGCTATGGAAAAGGCGCGTAAGAAGGCCCTGAAGGAAAAGGAGAAGGCGGCCAAGGCAAGGGCCAAGACCGTCGAGGAGGCAAGGAAGAAAGCAGCGGCTCTCAAGGATCGAGAAGGGCATCGACTACCTAATATATTTACTCCCAACATTGATTTCCTCGTCGAGCCATGAACAGTGAGTATAATGTTTGCAGACCTGTGACAATTCGATATATTTGTTTGTAGATTCGGCGAGAAAGTCAATACTGGGGTACATCAATTCTGTAGTCGATTCCCTACTCGAAAGGAGGGCAAGGAGGTCGAGAAAGAGGAGGAGAAGAAAGAGGAGCCCGAGGAGGAGGAGGAACCCGAAGAGGAGGAGCCAGAAGAGCCAGAGCCAGTGAAAGGCGACCCGCCCACGGTGAGCCTCACCGCCGAGGAGATCGGGCGACGAAATCTATACATCTCCGCTGCTCCCTGGCCAGGCCCATCCTGAACCGGGGAGCTGGGCATGCGCCCCCCTGGCCAAGTCACGAGGGCGTGGCGCAGGCACCGCTGCTGGGTTCCGGGTGGGCCCGGCCAGGGAGCAGGGGATATGTAGGGATTTCGCTGCCCCAGGAGAAGCTGCTCAACTTCAAGCCCGTGGTTGTCCCGGACCTCACCCCGTTCGCGCTGAACACGACCTTCACACAGTTCTCGGTCCCGGAGAAGGAGGAGGGCTTCGATAGCCTGAAGTACGTGTTCCTGAAGGAGGGTGCCAAGTGCAAGAAGCACGTCGAGGAGTGGGTGGCTGCTCGCAAGCGCACTGCACGCGTGGAGGACGTCAAGCCCTCCGCGGAGTTCCACGCTTCGACGAGGGCCTGGAGCACGGCGGTGGCGGGCTGGAGGGACGCCCTGCAGAAGTACCAGGCGAAACTCGCCAAGAAGCGCTCGGAGAAGGCCGCGAAGGAGGCCAAGAAGAAGCAGGCAGCTGCAGCGAAGGCCAAAGCCGAGGCGGAGAAGAAGGACGGCGAAGACAAGAAGGAGGAGGTGGTGGAGGAGGTCGAGGATGACGACGACGAGGAGGAGGAGCCGGAGATCGATCTTGAGAGTATCGACATCTTTGGAGTCGATGACGTCAAGGATATTGGCGGTGGCATGCCATTGTATAAAGAGTTTGCTCACGAGGATTGGGCGTTGCTGTCGCTTGCGTTTGAGCTTCACGCGCTTGGGCACTCTTTCAAGAGAGATGTTAAGGATGAGGAGCGCAACATGATTCATGTGGACCATTTGGATTTCTACTATGAGAAGTACTTCAAGAAGCCCCTCAGCCCGAAGTCTTACGGCGTGGATTCGTTGAGGGATGTTGTAGGGTTGGTGAATGACGTGGTGTACATTAACGGCAAGGGCGTGCTCGAGAATTGCTTCCAGGAGGAGTTGGAGAGCTACCAGGCTTGTTTCCCTCTTGCCTGTCCTTCTCTTGCACTCGACCATCCTCTCCCATACTTGTTCGTCCTTTTCTTCGTCAACGTCCTGTTCCTCTGCCTCTCCTTTGTTGTTCTCGCTGTCTCTCTCCTTCTATCCCTATCCCCTTCACCTTCCTCATCCTCTTCCCCTCCTATTCCGCACCCTCTCCCCTTTCCCTTCCTCTTTCTCTGCCTCTTCCCTCCCCCTCCGTCGGTCACGTTGTCTCCTCCTCACCTTTCCCCTCAGGTCTTTGTCAAGATCGCGGAGGAGGCCCGGAGGTTCCGCAGGATCCGCATCGACCTGGGCGAAGAGGCCGCGGTCCTCAAGATCGCGGTTCAGCACGGCAGCCAGCAGCACCATGGCCAAAAGAGGACTTGGAAGCCCCCACTCCGTGCACCAAAGGGGCCCTCCCCCCAGGACGAATAGGAGGACGATGAGGAGGAGTGTCAGGAGGACGAGGGGGAGGGCGATGAAGAGAAGGAGAATGAGGGGGGAGGAGGAGGAGGAGGAGGAGGAGGAGGAGCAGCAGGAGGAGGAGGGGGAGGAGGAGGAGGAGGACAAGGAGGAGGAGGAGGAGGAGGAGGAGGAGGAGGAGCAGGAGGAGGACGATGAGGAGGAGGAAAGGAGGAGCAGGAGGAGGAGGGGGAGAGAGAGGAGGAGGGGGAGGGGGACCAGGAGGCTCAGGAGGAGGCGGGGGCAGAAGGGGCAGACGGAGGAGAGTGCGGAAGAGGACGAGAAAGAGGGAGAAGGGGAGGGCAAGGAGGGGGAGGAGGCGGAGCAGGAGGATTCTAAAAGGAGGAGGTGGAGGAGGACGAGGAGGAGGAGGAGGAGGAGGACGAGGAGGAGGAGGAGAAGGAGGAGGAGGAGGATGAGGAGAAGGGGAAAGGGGAGGGGAGGGCAAGGAGGACGACGGGGAGGAGGAGGAGGAGGAGGAGGAGAGGAGGAGGAGGAGGAGGAGGAGGACGACGACGATGAAGAGGAGCGCACAAGGGTGGGAGGGTCACGCCGGTGCGCGCAGCGCGGGCCTCCCTGGAGGAAGAGCGACTGGGGCAATGCGCAGGAGAGCCGCCCGGGCGAGCAGAAACCTCGTGCCCCCGCCTCCTTCTGCTCGCCCTCGTCCTCCTCGTCCTCCTCCTCCTCCTCCTCCTCCTCCTTCGCGCGTCGTTCGCTCCTCCTCCTCCTCCTCCTCCTCCTCCCCCTACTCATCATCGCCACTACCATCCTCGTCCATCCCATCCCATCCCATCATCATCATCATCATCATCATCATCATCATCATCAGCAGCAGCATCATCATCATCATCATTATCAGCACCATTATCATTATCAGTATCATGTTCATCTTCATCATCATCATCAGCACCACCATTATCATCATCATCATCATCAACTCCATCATCACCATCATAATAATAATCATCATCATCATCGTCAGCATCATCATCATCATGAGCAGCAGCATCATCACCATCATTATCATCATCATCATCATCATCATCAGCATCCTCATCCTCATCCTCATCCTCATCCTCATCTTCATCATCCTCATCCTCATCATCCTCATCACCATCACAGTTTTGGCTCGAGGGTTTTGGGGCGCGTCAGCCAGGCTGACGCCTTTCTCGCGCTGAGACTAGCGCTACACGGTGCGCGAGTCGGCACGCAATCACCGTGTCCGCCGCGATCGCAGGCGGGCCCGCCCGCCGCTGGCGGCCAAGGCGGGCAAGAGCAGCGGGCGCGGACGCGAGAGTCTGGCGGAGGGCGCCAGGGCCGGCGCGGGCCGCCACGGCTCCCAGCCAGGGGGGATGCGGACGCGGAGATGGACGACGCGATGGAGTCGTTCGGTGGCATCGATCGCATCGGGGAGGAGGCGCATGCGAGTGCTGCCGCCCCTGGGTCTCAAGGACAAGAGCGAGCTGATGGACTACGTTCGCGACCATGAGGTGCCGACGGACGGCGACCCCGAGCTGATGACGATGCCTGCGTTGAAGGACGCGGCCTACGCGTACGACGAGGTGCTGTTCGTGCGAGCTCGAACGGGCTCGAGTGGCGCGGCAGCCAGCAGCGCGGCGCCACGGCCTCCACTTTCTGATCGTCGAGCACGACCTGCGTCTCGGGGACCTTCGGCGCTGTCGAGATGGCTGTTCGGCGCCGCTATGCTTGGCATGGTGATGCCGCTGAAGACCGTGAAGGAGGTGAACTTCACGAGTCGGGGCGACCTGGCCCCGAAGGTGGCGAAGATGAAGAATGGCACCGAGACTCTGGTGAAGGACCAGTTGCGCTCCCTGCGGCGTGACCAGGGGGCGTCAACATCAAGCCTGGGGCCTACCTTATGGAGTTCGGACCAGGCTTCGACTCGTAGGAGGCTGGGTGCGAGGCGGCGGTCAGCGAGAAAGGCGAGAACCTACGAAGGAGGTGGTGCGCAAGGAGGCGGCTTGGCAGGTACTTCCTACCATGAGGAGCCACTCACTGTAGTTCGGCGACGATCTCGGGTCGCCCAAGCAGCGCCGAGTGGTGCTGCAAGACATTAAGACGAAGAGGCCAAAGCTGGTGCTGACCCCAACGGGCCCTGGAGTAACCTGACCTACTTCCAGAAGGATCAAGTGAAGGTTCGAGAGCGGCAAGATCGGGATCGATTCGCCGTTTCGTGAAGGAGGTGTCGAAGGTCGTGAAGGGTTCGAGAGGTGCTTGGATGATCGAAAACCCGAGGTGGGCTCGGGCACGGGGTGAGCCAGAGCTTCGAGAGCTCATCCAACAGGGCTACGCCGCGGAGGTGGACCAGTGCATGTACGGGCTCACCTCATAACGTGGAGGAGCACATCGGAAGCCTACGAGGTTGCTGGCGTCGCACGAGGAACTGCTCGTGGATCTCGACTGGCAGTGCGACAAATCCCACAGGCGCGACCTCGTCATGGCGGCCCAAGCGCGACTGCGTGGACGGGGCACTGCACGTCTGAGTTGGTGAGGAGTATCGCGAAGGGCATGCTGAACCTCTTCGGGTCGAAGGAGGTGCTCAGTGTGGATGAGGCCTCTGAGGCAGATCCCGAGGAGGTGGACGACAGGGGATTCGTAGACTACCCGGGCAACGAGGACCCCCTAGACGACGCGACGGAGTTGAAGAACGCACAGGTGTCGAAGGAGGAACGCGGTGCTGCGCAGTCGCAAGAACCTTCGACGCCCTTCGAAGGATCAGCCAGTGCGAGCGCGTCGCGCTTGTGGAGCCAGCGACGGGGCGATCGCGGCGGCGGTGCAGCTGCAGCGCCCGGTGCGCCATGTGATGAACAGGCCCGCTGTTGGACGCACCAGGTTCCCAGCGAGGCCCAAGAAAGTAACGGAGTTTGGCGAACAGATCGTGATCGACCTGTTCGCGGTGCACACGAACTCGGGCTTGGCGCTGGAGATGCTCAACATCGTGGACGTCAAGACGGGCTTCCAGGTGGTGGCACCCATTGAGAGCAAGCGCCCTGGCGTCGTGGCCCAAGATCTGGAGCTGTTCTGATTCAGCTGGGCTGGCCTGCTCAACCCGCTGGCGTGCGACAACGGCGGCGAGTTCTACCAGGAGGTGTTCTGCCAGTCGGTTGGCTGTGGCGCCCAGGTGTGGTTCGCTGCAGTGGGGGCGCCGTGGCAGAACGGCATGTGCGAGCGTGCTGCGGGCGAATGGGGGGCGCTCTGGAAGGCGAGCACCACGGAGGCAGAGATCGAGACCGAGCTGGAGGTGGCGGCTGCTGCTGCGATGATACCTGGGCCAAGAATCAGCGGATCAACGAGTTTGGGTTTTCGCCGGCGCAGCTCGTGCTGGGAAGGCCCCCGCAGCTGCCGCGGAGATTGCCCGGCGCCCGTGGGCGGTCTCAGCTCGTGGTGCGCGACCCCGTGGACAACAGCCCCTACGTCGCGAAGCGACTTCAGATCTACGGCGCTGCGAAGGTGGCGATGGACAAGCTGGTCACCAGCAAACGACTGCGCCGAGCCCTTGTCGCTCGCGGCTGCCGGTTGCCACCCGGCGCGAATGTGAATCTAGGCGACGCGGTCTACTTCTACCGCGAGGTCAAGCGCAAGAGCCGGCGGGGGAAGGGCCCGCCGTTGATCTTGAGGGCCTGGCATGGACCATTTGTGGCCATCGGTGCGGAACCGGCAGCCGTCAACGTCTCGCGCGAGGGCCCGTCGACCAACTGCGACTCCGCGGACGTCCGCCGCGCGTCGCCCGACGAGGCGCTGGGCATCAGCGCCGGGGGGCAGTTGGATATCGCGGAGAAGGCGCTGCCCGACTTGCAGGGCGACGCGGGGCTCGACGTGGCGGACGCGACCATGGCATACGAGGAAGAAGGCGAATCTGAACAGGCTGATGCTGGTGGACCCGAGGCGCCAGAGGCGATCGCTCGGCCCTCTCAGGCCGAGGAAGTTGCGGAGGATCGCGTGGGCCTGGAGGAGATCCAGGCCCAGCCGAGCGAGGTGACCGCGGCAGGCGTGGCCGCGGCTGTGGCTGGCGCTGCGGGCGACGGTGAGATCGATCCGATCTCGAGCGCCGAGGTTTCATGGAAGACAAGTTCTCGGCTGAGCGGGGAGACCGACTTCCCGCGGGAGGTTGCGCAGCAGCCACGAGGCCACGGCGAGGGCCCAGACGCGTCCTGGGCGCCGCGCGTCGCTAAGACCATCCAGAAGCGCGCGGGTGAAGCGAGAGAACGGCCCGGGACTTCGACAGCTCGACCTGCGCCAGTGGCGATCGTCATCTCCGAGGGCCAGTTCGGGCCCTGCGGCAACTTCGCGCCGAGCACGCCTCCCCTCGAGGAGGTTGAGTAAGCTCAGGGGCCGGTGGCGGAATCTCCGCAGCCAGCGCAGGAGGGCCCCCAGCAAGGACGGAAGCGCGATGTGGAGGGGGCCGAGCTGCCAGTGGCGCCATCTCGTGGTGGGCGCGACGGACGTCCAGAACCTAAGCATCCCGACGAGGCGCTGTGGGTCAAGGGTGTGGCGAAGAGAGCCGTGGCATGGCTCGCAAGCGCCCCCGAGACGGACCGACGGCGATTTCTGGACCATCTGGAGACGGCGCCGGCTAACGACCCCAAGTTCGAGGCGCTGCCCGTGCGCGGGCAGGCCCAGAAGGGGGGGTCTGGGGTCTGATGGGCCAGCCGACGAAGGCGAATTACGCAGAAGCAGCAGCGTCGCAGCGGGCGAAGTGGATCGACGCCGAGTCCGTGGAGGTGCTGCTGGGGAAGGAGTCCGCCGAGCTCGAGGAGCCGATGAATCGAGGGGGTAAGGGCGACTACATCATGGGAGCGCGGTGGGCTCTGACGGACAAGAATGACCCGCCGTGGACGGAGGCGAACGACTTGCCGCTGAAGGCTAATGCGAGGCTCGTGGTCAACAGCGGCGGCCCGGGCAGATCTGGCGAGAAGTCGAACGCGCGGGTAGATGCTCCGTGCGCCGCGACG